GGAGCAGCGGGACTCAGTACCTTGGTCTGGTGGTCTGGTGTCCTCTGGGTCTTTGTAGTGTGGAACCAGGTGGCTGCCTGTCTGCAGCGGGGTGATTCGGCGTGTTCTGTGCAACTCAGGACCTCGGTAGGGCGTGGGCAGACCTGCCTGTCTGCAGCGGGGTGTTTCGGCGTCTTCTGCGCTGCTTTATTTCTTTCTCTTGTGTGATTGCTCTGGGTAATATTTAAATATTATGTTCAATGGGAGTGCTAATAAAGGAAATTCTTGTCCCTGATTTTAGATAGAAAGCTTTCATTTTTTACCCCATTTAATATGATGTTGCCTGGTTTGTCATTAATAGCTTTTAGCAGATTCAGTGAAGGTCATTCTATACCTATTTTCTTCAGAGTTTTTTTTTTTTTAATCATGTAAGGAAGTTGGATTCTTCAAAAGCTTTGTTTTGATTATGTAATTTTTGTTCTGGCTTCTGTTTATGTGGTGTATTACAGTTATTGATATGCATGTGTTTAATCATCTCTGCATGCCTGGGGATGAAGCATATTTGGTCATGATGTATGATATTTTTGATGATTTGTTGCATTCTGTTTGCCAATATCCTGTCAAGGATTTTTACATCTATGTTTATTAAAGAAATTGGCCTATATGTTTCTTCTTTAAGTTGAGTCCTTGTCTAGTTTTGGAATCAAGGCAAAGCTAGCTTCCAGCAAAGAGTTTGGAAGTACTTCTTCCTTTTGAATTTCTTTAAAGAGTTTGAAGTATGTTGGTGTTATATTTCCCCTGAAGGTCTTGTAGAATTCCGCAGTGAATTCATCAGGTTTCAAGCTTTTCTTAATTGGTAGGTTTTAAATAACCATTTCAATTTAATTGCCTGTTGTTGGATTTTTTTAGTTTTGATAACTTCTTGCTTCAGTTTTGGCAAATCATATGTTCTAGGTATCTGTACATTTCTTTAAGGTTTACTCATTTGTTGGAGTACAATTTCTTATGGTAGTTACTAATGATCTTCTGGATTTCAGTGTTTTCTGTTGTGATTTTGGCTTTTTCATTGCTAATTGCATAATCTTTCTTTCAGGAAATTTGGCTGGTAAATTTGGCTAAGGGTTTGTATATTTTATTCTTCTAAAGAATCACTCTTCAATTCATTGATTTTTTTGTCTTGTTTTCTTAGCGTCCATTTCATTAATTTCTGCTCTGATCTCCATGATTTCCCTCCTTATAGTTGTACATCCTAGGTTTGGGTTTGGACTGTTCTTGTTTTTCTAGTATCTTGGGATGCAGTATCAGTTTATTTATTTGAGATCACTGTTTTTCTAATGTGAGTGTTCACAGTAATAAATTTCCCTGTTAGGGTCGCTTTTTTTGTGTGTCCCATATGTTTGGATATGTTGTACTGGCATTATTATTTTCCATTTGCCACATGGGGAAGCAGTAAGCTAGTCCTCCACCTTCCAACTCTCTCCCTCTCTCAGTTGACCAGAAAAGCCAAAGAATTTGAGTTCTTGGACAGATGAAAGACTTCAGGGAGGGGACAGGGACGAGAAGGGAACTGGAGTTTCCCCAAGTGAGAGAGCGAGAAAAAGCCTCATTGAGCATAAAAATGAATAATTTTCACTATGTTCAGTTTTATCAATCAGTTTTCTCAGTCAATTTTGTCTTTGTTAAGGCCTGTCATCTTGGATGGTAGCTAAAACTTAGTTGGTGGAATGGTGAATGGGTAACTTTAATAATTTTCCATTTTTTCAAGAATAAGTCTTCACATAATAATTTGCAAAATTGTTTCCATTTAATCCACATGTGGTGGGACATATGTGTCATTTCAGCTATCTTGAAAGTTGAAGCAGGATATTTTCAAATTTATGGCTAACCTGGCCAAGTTAATGAGACCCTGTGTTAAAATAAAAATTATAAAAAAGTTCTGGGGATATAGCTCAGTGGTAAGCCCTTGTCTAGATTGCTAGACAAGTACTTTCCCAGTGCCAGAAAAAATATTGTCTTTATTTCCCTTTTAAAAGTAGAGTTCTCTTATTAGATCATAAGAGACAATATAATATTTTAATCATGATGTATATTCTGTTTTGGGCTTGGAAAGTGAAGTAAAGCATAGTATTATGAAGTAGAAAAAAAATCCTAAAATGGTCAAAGGACTGTCTATAGTCAAAGGACTCTGATTAGCTAAGTGATCTTCAGGAAACAAAACTCAGAATTACACTTGTTGATTTTGAAACATAGTTTAGAGGTATAGTAATCTAAACAATATGATCCTGTCATAGAGACAGACATAAAGACAAATGGTACAGAAGAGAAAGCTCAGAAACAAATGGTCACATATTGAGTTAATGGTGATTTGAAATACATGCCAAGGATGCATAATGAGGAAAGGACAATTTCTTCACTAAGGGTTATTAGTAAGGTGGATATTTTCACTCAACAGAATGAAACTAGACACTTATAATATACCTTACACCAAATGAATTCTAACTGGATGTAAGATTTAAACCTTAGACCTAAGCCTGTATTATAGCTAGAATAAAATAAGAAATAGCTTTGTGACTGCTATTTTGATTGGATATAATTTAAGTGGCTTTCAGTGCTTCATATGTTGAAATTTCATCCCCATTGTAAGCTACTGAGAGAATGAAAACATAATCTGACTATACTGTTTAGAGATAGATGAAAATAATCAATCTGAAAGGCCCTAAGATCCTAAGAGTTGAGTTGTAGTGATTGAATCCCAATAGCTTCACAAGAAAAGGGAGAGAAAAAACACACAAATGCATATGCATAATCCCTGTCTCTTGTTATGCGATACTCTGTGTCATCCTGGGACTCTTCCAACAATAAGATCACCACCAGATGTGAGTGCTTGAACCTTCAGAACTGTAAGCTAAGTAAACCTTTCTTCATAACTCACACAATCTGTGTTATAGTTAAATCAGTCACAAAAAATTTACTAATACAATGGCACTAGTGTTTGCTGTGGTTTCTAAGATAAAAGGTAAATAGTACAGACAATGAAAGCATAAAGAAACAAAAAGGACTATATGAAATCTTAAAAATGTCAGCACAGCAAAGTAAGCAGTTAACAGAGTGAATAGGGAGTCAACTAAACCAGAGACAATATTTACACACACTGTCTGACAAGGGGTTAATAGTCAAACATATAAGTAACTCCTACAACCAGTACCAGAAAGCACAATCTGATTAAAAACTTAAAGGACTCAAATAGATATTTCTACAAAGAAGACAGAAATGTCAAACAAGTATATCAAAAGATGCTTAACTTTATTAATCATCATCGAGAAAATGCAAATTATAACACAATGATATATCAAAGTATTCTCATTTGGATAAGGATTACTAAAAAAATTAAAATGCAAGTATTCGTGAGGATGTGGAGAAACTGGAACTTTTGTGTACTGTTGTTCAAAATGTAAAATTGTGTAGCTTCTCTGGTAAAATGTATGAAGGTTCTTATAAAAGTTTTGCAGAGAAGTACCATATGAATTACCTACTGCACTTATTTATATTTACCTAAAACAATTAAAAATCAGGATTTTGAAGAACTATCTGCAACAGTTTCTACTTTAAATCTTGTCTGTTTTGGGCTGGGGATTTAGCTCAGTGGTTCCACCGCCTGCCTCACAAGTGCAAGGTCCTGAGTTCGATCCCTGGTACAAAAAAAAAATCCTGTCCATTTTAAGACAAAAAGCTCTTAAAATCTTCTGCTTGGATATACGTACATCTGCTCTATTCATATTTTGGTGGGCCAAAATGATTTCAAGGTTAAGCCACCAATAAAAGGATATCCGGTAAAAAAAAAAAAAGGCTAAAGCCATAGGACAGGGACAAGCATCTGTCCAGAAGGAAGGAGCTACACATGATAGTGCAAAACAATGTGGCATTTATAGTCACTCCCTTAAGAAAAAGGGAAGAAGAGGGAAGTATAAGGGAGACTAATGGAGATACAGGTATGATCAGGCTAAATTATATGCATGTATACAAATATCACACTGAAACTCAATATTTTGTAAAATTGTACAGAGGTAAAATCTATTCTTGGTACAAAAAATTTACAATCTTTTAAGGAAGATGAACATGACTCCAAGTATTGTACTTCATGTCTTTGCAGGGTTTTGTGGTTATAAGACTTAAGTAACATTAACTGAAGGACCACTTATTCTAAAATCTAAAATTGCTTTATCTATGCCTCAAAGAGTAAGGGTATGGGGCCAGGGATTTAGCTCAGTGGTTCCGGCGTCTGCCTCGCAAGAGCAAGGTCCCGAGTTCGATCCCCGGTACCAAAAAAAAACCCAAAAAAGAGTAAGGGTGATAGGAAAGTTTGCTTTGTTAGATCTTTAGAGTATGACACATCCACCACCTGTGTTTTCTAACTTTTCGTTGAGAAGATTTATTTCATTCTGAAGTTGTCGGCTCTCATTTTGGAATCCCTCTCTTAGTAGATTGGCTTGTTCCTAAAAAATACAAATGGAATGTGAATAATTTTTAACAAAGTAGATTTCAAACCAAAACAGGTCAGAAGAGACAAAAGTCACCACATATTGGTAAATGGAACAATTCACCAGGAAATGAGAACAGTTGTAAATATGCATACACCGAATACTGGTGCATCTAAATCGGTAAAGTAAAAACTACTTGACAGAAAGGGGCAGGAAGATAGCAATACAAATATTTTGGGAAACTTCAATAGCCCACCTTCACAAATAGGGAAGAAAAACAGTCAAAAAGTTAATAAAGAACTATGAGAGCCTACCTACACCACAGAACAAACGGATTTACAGATAGCTATAGAAAGTCTCAACCAATGGTAGCAGAACACACATTCTTCTCAGAAGTCCATAGAACTTTCTTTAATATAAACCATATTTTAGGCCTGAAAGCATGTCTCCATTAACACAAAAGAATGGTAATAATCTCCTGTATCTTATCAGATTACAATGGAATGAAACTAGAAAACAGCGAAAGAAATCATAGAAACTATCCAAACACAAGAAAATTGAATAATACACACTTGAGTAATCAATGGGTCACAGAAATAAACCAGAGAAGAAATTTAAAAATTCCTAGTCAAATGATAATGCAAATCTAACATAGCAGAATCTGTGAAGTACAATCGAAGCAGATTTAAAAAAGAAGTTCATAGCTATGAGTGCCTACATTAGAAAAACAGAGATTACCAATAAATAACCCAAGGCTATCTCAAGATCTTAGAAAACAAAAACAATTAAACTCCAAAAGTAGTAAAAGAAAAGAAATGATGAAAATTAGAGTGGAAATGAATTTGGAACAGAAAAAATACAAAGGATTAATGAATCAGAGTTTTCTTTGAAAAGATAAATAAGATCAATAAATCCTTAGCTGAAATTAAGAAAGAAGACCAACATCAATACAATGAGAAATGAGAAAGATACAACAAACACTACTGATATCCAGAGGTTTGTTAGAAACAATTTTGAAAACTTATATTCCAGTGAATTGGAGAATCTGGAAGAAATAGACAAATTTCTAGACACATATGACCTACCAAAATTGATTCAATATACACACAGTGAAATATTTTTCCACTATAATGAAGTCATATCATTTGCAGGAAAATGGATGGAACTTCAGACCATAATACTAAGTGAAATATATATCTCATTGTTTCTCTTATATGGGAAACTTAAAATATAAATAGATGAATGAATGAAATAAAGGAGAGATAGTAGGAAACAAGAAGGCAGATCATTTGGAGATGGGAAAGGGGATCAAGGGGGAGGGAGAGGTAAAGGAGAGTGGGGAAGATGTATCAAAAATGATCAAGATATATGCATGTACCAGCTTCCTAAAATTAATATAAGTACTATGTATTGCAAACATATACTTTTAAAAATGCCAATGCCTGGACCTAATCTGAGGCCAACTAAATGAGAATATTTGGGATTGAATCTAAAAATCAACATTTTTCTGAAAAATCCCCTCTTCATTCTGAAGCCCTTTGAGGACTGAGGAACACCCCACTGGTGATGAGCCTGAGTAGTCCTTTCAATAGCTATGTGAATGTGAGGCATGCTGGAGATGTTACAAACATAGATGATTCCAAAGTGTGAGTTCTGAGTGATGGAAAAAATTGTTTGGGTACACAAGGAGAGTACACCGGGAGAGGTCAGACCAGAGGAGCTGAAAGAAATGACTATGTGGGACATATTGGGTTTGACATCCACTGGATAGGTTCATGGAGATCACCCAAGTGCATTTACACCCAGATAGGAAGCCAGGGGTTCTCTGGATGCACATATTTTCTGCTTATCATTGACAAAGTCCTGATTCAGAGAAGATGTGTGGATAATCCCATGAGAAGACTAGAAAGGAATCCCAGGGTAATGAGACTCAGGAGCTGGTGCAAAGATGAGAAACCAAGAAAAATCATTTTCAGGAAGTGTTTAAGATCTAAAAGTTAAGTTTAAATAGACAATAAAACTTGCCTGAGTGAAGACGGTCATGTTAGCCAGGGTATGAGAAGAAATGAGGTAAGTAGATAAGAGGTTACCAAATAATTATGGGACTTTTAGGCTGATCCATGATGCAAAAGTTTCACTGGGGAGGGATGAAATATTAAACAAATATTTACTGGGTGCTCAGTGTATCAGTCACCAACAAATGGATAACATGCCTGCCGTCATGTGATTCACTTCCCAGCAAGTGGAGACTGACTCTACACATACAAATTAGGTAAATAGAGCTTTAAACAGTCATATGCTAATGTGGCAGGGGGCAAATAAAGGGCCAAGGATTGATGATGTTGATGGGAAAGGTATAACAACATTATCAAAGTGTTCCTTGAAGATTGCCCTAAACAGTTGGCATTGGAGTAAAGAATTCCAGATTGAGGTGGAGATCTTGTAGCTGTAGGGGGAAATAATTCTAATGACTCCACCCTCATTCTAAGTAGGCAGGTAGTTGTTTCTCAGCAGGATTTTATTTTGCTTTTCACAAATGGCTGGTAATATTGATCATATTTCCATTACTTATATGACCTCCATCTATTTCCTTTGGTGAAATGCCTACTCAATTCTTTTATCCATTTCTAAATTGGGATTTTGTTTGTTTCCTTACTGTGAAATCTTCAGAATCTTTATGTTTTCTGTATGTAAGTCCTTTGTTAGATACGTGATCTGAAAATATTTTTCTTCAGTCTGTGGTATATCTTTTTTGTTATCTTAACGATGTCTTTTATAGAGTAAAATTTGTCACTTGTGATGAAATCTAATTTATTAAATTTTTCTTTATGACTCAAAAGTACTTTTTTTTTTTGTACTGGGGGTTGAACTCAGGGCCTTGTGCTTCCACAGCAGGCACCGGAACCACTGAGCTAAATCCCCAGCATGACTCCAAATTACTTTTAAAAATACTGGCTAAACTTTGTTGAATGCTCTATTTAAAACTGAATAAAGTTTTGCCCCTTACCCTGCTCCAAATTACAGTAACACCTCAAAGTGGGCTTGAGTTAAGTGTCTTTGAAATTATGCTTGGTTGACCCTTTCTATCCTCTATAGCAGGTGCCACTGAGTCTTTCCATTGAGTAGCAAGCAGTACAGACCTTAAAGTCTGGCAACAGCATGACAAATTAGAATCTTAGTTGATAAATAGACATTAACTCTCATAGTCTGTATTCAAAATTTTTGGAATTCTATTGTGTATATCTAAGAAATTCTAAAGATAAAGTCACTATGAATAGAACAAAGACAAATGCATCTTAATTACTAAACTCTGTTTCTTGGTATTTTGTATGATTAAAATTCCAGAGGCCTACATTTTAGAAAAGAACTGGAACTTTTGAGCCTAATTCCTAACATGCTTATATGGCTTATATCTATATGCCTCCCAAAGCCTCATATGCTCACAGGTGACACTTTTGGGAGGTGATTGGATCATGGGTGTGTGATACTAGAATAAAGGTGTCATAAGTAGAATAGTCTACTGATTAGTTTAGCATAGCTCTGGATGTGGATAATGGGAAGGCCTAACCTGAGTGTGAAGAGCACCAACCAATAGGCTTGTAGCCTGAGTGGAATAAAAATGGGAAAAGGCTGCTACTTGTTGCTTCCTGCCTACCCTTCCATGGACTGTTTCATCACTGTGATGCTCCTTGGCCATGCCATCTTGCCTTGGAGCCAGATAATTATGGATGGAAACTTCCACAAACTGTGAAACTGAAATAAACTTTTCCTCCTTTAACTTGTGAGTGTAGGGTATTTTGTCCCAGCAATGAGAAAGTAAATAAGACACATGATGATGATGTTCTACTTGGTTTTTACAATGTGTTAGCAAGAAACAAAAACAAACAAAACAACAAAAAATCCCAAACCAAACCAAACCAAAAAGACCAAAGAAAAACATGCAAAAGGATGGGTTTTTTGCCCAAATGCTAATTCATCTTGGCTTGTACAACAAAGACTCTTAAGAATTCTCTTACATACAATATTCTGTCAGAACTAAATTTATTTCACAGACAAAATGGTTTGATTTGATATCCTAAGGAAAAAAATTGGTAGAACTAAAAAATATTACATTTCTTAATTCAAATGTAACATACAAGCAGTATTTGCTTTCCTCTTACGTTTTCCTTCTAAAGTTTGTAACTATTGTTTGTCAAAAGTCTGTATTCTATGAGGTTGTCACCTACAGCCTCATAAACTTAACCATGGACTCCAATAAAACTTAATCTAAAGAGTAATCTTTCTAAACCATTTTGTAGATCAAATTTGGCTAAACAGTTTTTTTCTCATTACTAGGGATTAAATGCTGGGCCTTCTCATTGCACTATATCTGTGGCCCTTTCTAAAATTTTTTGTTTTGAGATAGGATCTCATTAAGTGACTATGTTGTTGTGCCCAGATCGCAGAGTCCCAAAGACCACCAGGAGGCCGATTCTGATGTAAGCACACGAGGGTCATTTATTCAAGCTCGAGCAGGGGCTCTCAACTGTCACCGATGCAGCCGGTCAAGATTGAGAGCCCTGAGTTTCAAATTAGCAGGGTTTTTATAGACGTTACATCAAGGTTAGGGGTTTCTACTTAGCAGCTATATGATTGGTTAACATTTTAGCAAGCATGAAGTGTATATTTTTGATTGGCTAGGTCTATAGGGGGTCGAGGGGGATTACGTATAGGTTTTTGCAAGGGAGAAAGGGGCAAAGGTTAATGGCCGACTGTCACATACTGATGGTTAGCAGACCCACTGACTAATGGTCACGTCTATCTTGTGTGGATAGTCAGTCCATTAACTGCTTATCTTATAGATAGTGTGCCTGGGATGCTCTTTCTCTGGATACACAGATGGCTGGGTAGTAAACTTAGGAATTTGGCCTTGTTTTAGATCGTGTCTTTTTGTCCCTGAGCAAGCACATTTTAACCCTTAGCTTACAAGAACAATAGAGACGAGGAGAATGGTGAATTCTAGCAAGATGGAGTCACTGTGGGCCTCACAATGTCACTACACTTTCCAAGCTAGGCTTGAATTTTCAATCCTTGTGACCTCTCAGAGTGCTGGGACTACAGGCATGCTCAACCACACACAGATTTTTAAAAGGTTTAAACATTTATTTTAATTATCTATCATTTTTTCTCCAATATGGGACCTGACTGACTAGCAGGACAGAAACAAAGAAAGCAAAAAATTCTATCTCAACAGCAAGGCATCCAATCACACTTGGTTAATCAGTTTCACATTCAGAAAGAAAAAAGTGCATGTAGTGACAAGGGGAGAAACTGTCAAGTTCAATATGGAGTCACTTATGTTTACCGGAGTCACAGTAAACAGCCACAGACAAGTAAAAGGGCTTTGTCATGCTTACTTGAAAGCAAAAATCTTTCCAGTAGGTGGAGGTATTGACTATTTTCTGACTTTGGCTCACTCTTGTGTTTGATTCTACAATCATTAATGGTATTTTTAAGATTAAGGGAAAGAGCAGACCAGGGGGAAGTTGAAAGAGGATATTGAAATGGAGTTTCAAAATTAGAATCTTAAAACTAAGCTCTTTCTCCAGCTTTCTCATTCTCAGTTCTGGCACCAAGAAGGCTTCAGTAGAGCCCGACTTCTAACATTTTTCTACATTTTTCTGTACCCACTGGTAGCCCATGGCATAGCTGTAGGTAACATGCATTTGGGCTTTTGTTATATCCCTTTGATAAAGCAATTCTGTACACTGGTTAAAAGCAGGCTAGCTCTCCTGTCAATTTAGCCAAATTGTAAATACACTCATCTTCCCAGTTTTATTGGTGTTCTTGTGCTCTCAATGGTGAATGGTGAAATGTTACTTTTTTTTTTTTTGGTACTGGGGATCCAACTCAGGACCTTGTGCTTGCAAGGCAGGAGGCTGCACCACTGAGCTAAATCCCCGGCCCATAGCTAAATCCCTGGGCCAGTGAGTGGTGAAATGAATCCAGATAGTTGAGGCTCAGATTCAAAACTCTGGCCAGGTCCCCAGTAACATATATACATAAAACAGAAATAAATTATTCACAAAATCTGATGAAGGTCTGGATCTTAGTTTAGGACATGTGAGCTAAGCTTCCACAACTTGGTAGCAGGAGTGACAGAATATAGGTAAGCAAATCAGAGTTCCAGATTATTTCTGCACTTAACTCCCAAATGCACAGAAACTGGGACCAAGTAGAAAAAATAGGTAGGAGTGGTGTGAAGGTTAAAGAGTTTTTTGCTCACAAAGATCCTTGTAGAGTTAAATCAAAATAGATTGCACCAAAAAAAAAATTCATGTTGTAAAGACAGCTAGATATTTCACCAACTGGGTGATCTAAAGAAAGCTATTTAATCTTTCTTTTGGTACTGGGGATCGAACTGGGGTCCTTGTGCTTGCAGGGCAGGCGGCGGAAGCACTGAGCTAAATCCTCAGCCCCAATATTTAATCTTTTTTGAACCTGCTTTTCTGAACTTGTGTTTTTCATAAGAGGGACAAAGTTCTTTTTTCATATTCCTATGCAAGAGGTACAGATGAAATATTTTTATGATGCTTAGCGGAGAAGGCTAAATCGAGGGATATACTTAGTGATGTGACAGCATTGGAAATAAAAAATGTAATAATCAGACAGGGAATGCAGACGGGTCAGGCAGGCACACAGGGGTCAATATGTACAAGATCTTTTTCGAGACTTCATGGTCTACTTGCCAATTTTTGTGATCAGGGAGAACGGAGAGAAAAAGGAAAAAAGGAAAGTTCAAGATGATGTAGCTGAATACCTGGAGTTTAAGAGCTAGAATCTTCTCTTGCTCTTCTATCAACTGTTTCCTGTCCGTCTCCATCTTCTCAGTCAACTGTTTGATATGCTCCTGATAACTCCTCTCTTTCTGTTCCAGCATCTCCTGATTCTTCTTTTGCATTTCCTCCAACATTTTGGTGGCAGCCTCTGCAGATTCAGCTTTCACACGTTCCACTGAAACCAATGAGAGAAATGTCTGTGGGTTACCATGTTGCCTCACCTCCTTTGTCCTCCTCTGTTTACTTACTGTTGCTGCTGATTGCATTGGAAAATAAAATACATCTTCGCTCTTCTTGTTCTAGTTTAAGAATATCAGGTTTACTTAGACAAATTAAACTTTTGAGAGCTTTTGAGGTCATGTAGCCTCTTGACTTATTCCTCACCTTCGATCTCCTTTTCTTTCTCTGTGAGAGTCTGGTCTGTCTGTAGAATGGCATTAATCATATCCTCCTTGAACTGCAAGTATTTCTGCAGAACCTCTTCAGCCTTCCAAACCAAAGAACACAGAGTTAACAGTAGGAAGTGACTAAGCATTTGTTTCTGTCTTTTGTCCATCAACTTTTCCTCTAGGAACTGTTTCTTTCAGTCTTGGGGATGCTGGTGGCCAAGATGCCCTGTTAACAAGAATGCGCACATGATGCGGGCTGGCTGGTAAGACCCTCAAAGAATCAGTGTTCTTTCATGGAAAAAGAGATTCTGTGTCATTTAAGATGGAAGGTGCTAAATTTAAAGTTAATGCTACTGTAGTCTCTACAAGCAGAGCATGCTAAAGAAGGAAGCCTTCATGGAGCCAGTAGACCAGAGAAGGAAATGGACGGAGTAAGAAAATTAAGGAAATGTGAGTTAGGAAGGTAACAGACAGTGAAAAAGATGACAACTCAGTTGTTAATTGCATGTGCTCTCTGTGATGAGTACCTAGGGCAGATCTAGTATAACAGGCTTCTTGTGGGTGTTAGTGGACAAAAGTGTGAATATAGTGCAGACAGTAGGCACATCTCTGAGTAATTATGCTTGGTCACACTGATGTTGGAAACTGGCACAATACGGGTAAATGTTGCTTACCTGTAATCCTTTCTTGGGTGTCTCATAGTACTTTTTCTTCAGGTCTTGTACTTTCTGAAGAAGGAGACGGTAGCCCCCTGGTTTAGAATAAATTCCTTGTTTCACCTCTTCTTCTAGGGGACTAAAAATATCCTGAAGTAAAGCTGAACAACGATCTGAAGATGCTTTCATATTCCGTTTACAAAAGTTATCTCGCTTTTTTTCTAGCTTGGCCTTTAATGCAAAAATAAGAAATAAAAAGAATAGCCAGGGTAAAAAAGAAAAAGAAATAAAGAATAGCCAGGGAGAGATAATAATATGTGGTCAGAGTTTATGAGAACACTTCTCAAAAAGATGATCCCAACTTTTTACTAAAATTCCTTTTTCTTTGGAGGTGAATTTCTGAGCAGAGATTATTAGCATTATGCCACACTTCAGAACATTACTAATTTTTCAGATTAGACCAATAATTGCACAGGAAATAAATATACCTCAACATAAGCCTTCATTAGATAACTTAGAATAATATTCTCTTTGCTTTTGTCTTGACTATCAAACCAATATGATAACAGATCTGATTACTCATTATATGCATTTAGTTCTAATAGGAGGAAGATTATTAGGTAATCATGCAAGAAAAAATGTTTTGAAACTTTGATTGCATACTAATAAAATTGTTTCTTCTTAGTATTATGATTTTCCATAGGTAGGTAACACCATTTTGAAATCTAGGAATAATTTCAGTTCTCAAAATGAATACTTATTTCATTTCCTTGTAGTACTTTGCTGTTTCTAATCCAAATCAATATACATTTGACATAAAAATTACCGCCAATTCCTTTTGAAAATGTTGCTGAACATCTTTGAAGGAATGTTTCATGAAGATTTCAATGGCGTCCTTCTCACAGGCCCTGTGCAGCTCCAGCAGCTCCTGGAGGGTTTCTGTGGGCAGCTGCACCTTCTGGCCCATCTGCTGGTCATAGTGGGCCAAGGCCTTCTGCACTGCAGCTGAGTTCTCTATCTGGGCCAAGGCCAGGACTGCGTTCTCCATGCAGGGCAGATCCCCACTGCTGATGGCACTGAGGTAGGTCAGCACAAGGGTCTCCAGACCTGCATATAAACAGCAGGTGATGATGCTTGTTATAGTGAGAGTGCAAAAAAGTCTCCATTGTATGTAATTCTGAGCATGTCAATTACCACCTATTTCCCTCAAATTGTCATTGGTGTAATTACCAGTGTACTTGGTAATTTGCTAGAAATGCAGCACCACAGCCTTTGCCCAGACCTATTGAATTTGACCTTCCTCTTCAGGAAGACCCCCACATGATGTGTATGTACACTAAAGATTGAGATTCCTGAATATATATTACACAGGACTTTAATTAGAGTGTTCCATCCATTTAAACTCTCTAGGTGCCATTAGGACTAGAATTATATCTCTTTCATTTATATCCGTATCATCATCTCTGTTAACAGTAGGTATTTAATCACTATTTACAGACCAAAAGATGTTATCCCAATCAAAAGCTGTTGCCATTTGGTTTATTAAAATGAATATCATTATTCGAAAGATCTTTGTGCACTGCTAATATAGTAGTCACTAGGCACATGGGACTATGTCCCCTTGAAATATAACCATAAGATCTATTTAAAATTTTTTTCATTTAAATTAATTTACCTTTAAACTTAAGCAACCACACTTTTCTAGTGGCTTCCACATTACAGACTGCATGTCTAGTTTTACCTAAGGAATTTTTAAGCAGTGACCTTTTCTTCCCTTTTGGCTTTTTCTCTTTTCCCATCAAGGAATGTGATGAACAAAATCTATTAGAAAGGTTGCGCCATCTAAATTTCAATGTACCAGTGGTACATTCACAAACCTGAAACTGAAACTAGATTCATTTCGTTTCTTACTCCTTACTCTTATGAATGAGTGAAAATAATGAGAAGGATACTCACGAGGTCCATTGACCTCAATGCCTCCTGGAAGAGTTTTAGTCCTAGAAGAGCTGAAGATGTAAGAACAGAACTCTGCAACTTGGTCCACGAATTCAGAGTCGAGCTCATCATCATGCAGTGTCTCGAGCTTGGTCAACTTCTTCCGATGAGTTGGTCTATCGAAGATAAAGCATTTCTTCCTTGGGAAGAACTTCCGGATGCAGAGTCGGGGGAGATTAAAATTTTTATCTTTCTGACTGGTACCTGTAGGAAGATAAAAAGGGACTTAACCACTGTAAGAATTTGCAAACAGGGCCGGGGATTTAGCTTAGTGGTTCCGCCACTTGCCTCGCAAGCACAAGGCCCCTGGTACAAACAACAACAACAACAACAACAACAACAACAACAACAAACAAACAAAAAAGAATTTGCAAACACTTTTGTAAAGGACCAAATAGTACATATTTTCAGGACAGCCTCTTTCCTCCGCATTTACCTCTTTTACTGTAGCATGGCATCATCTCTAGACAATATATAAATAAATGAGCTCAACATTTTCCCCAAAACATCTATTTCAAGACAGGAGGCAGGGTTTCATTAGCCTCATTTGTCTGTGGGCCATACTTTTCCAACACTTGAGCTACTACACTGCTTTAATCTATTTTCTTCAAATATACATTCATTGTACTTTACATTCCTTGGTTAAATGCACAATCACAAATAATAAGCACTAAGATAAATTTAAACTAAGCATAGCAAAGGTGAAAGAAAAAACTTGTTCTTTGAACAAGGGAGAAAATATTTTAAAATTGAATCTGTTAATTCAGATATTAAGCATTAATTTCCAGGTGTAAGTAGGTAGAAGTAATAGAAAGCTGTAAATGTACAAAAAGTATAAATAGAAAAGTACAGACTGATAATTTCTAGTATTTTGGTGTTCCCATTTATTAATTATCCGTCCATATTACCTTGCTTTAGCTTCAGGGAATTCTCCAGGTAGGCATCTGGAGAGATGGAATTTCCATCTAATTCTAATTCTAGGGAGAAATCTCTCAGTGTCCACACAAAGTCTGGGAAGAAGCTCATGAAGTCAGCTGAGTCTTCAACTTTATTCGTGCTGGGTGAGGATTTTGCTCTGATTCGATCTGTCAGTTCAGTCACATAGCTGAGGCACTAACTAAGGAAAACTAGCAAAAGTAACTGGCCCCTTCATCCCATATTAATTTGACAAATCCACAAACATTTATTTTATCTTTGTTCTTAACCTAAGTGTCATTTCTTCAGAAAGTACATGAATGTTTCCTGTTCTTGAATTATTGTGCATGTTTTCTCTTTGATTTGGCTCTACCAGGGTCTAGAGCCATGTGGCTGGTTTACTCACACAGGTCTCTCCTCTGACTTTTGTGCTGAACTAGAATACAAAAAGGATACTGCAGTTGGTCCATGGCCTGCTGGTTGATGGTTCCCATGCTGTTGTACACAAAGGTGCTGCTCAGAAGTATAGCTAGGGCGAAGATCCAGGAGTCATTCTGGTTGTCACCCTGGAAGTCAGAACATATTTGGGTCACAGGTATGTTTTATTCTTGTGTCAATTTACAGATCAGCAGTGGTAAAAGTATCATCACTTAATTAGAGTTTTTAGAATAATTACATAGGATCCTAAATCCAAATAAAAATGTCTATAGGACTTAAAATTTGAATATATTTTTGATTTGTAGTTGATTTACACTGATCTCTATAGAGCCTCTTATGATTATTGGAAGATAACTGAAAAACAGTTTAGCTTCTTAGGCTTTAAAGAAAATTTAAATTTAAAAATTCCTCCTTTTTAATAGCAGGATTTACTTACAAGAGATTTAGACCCTGGTATAATGGTGCATGGTTTTAATCCTATCTGCTTGGGAGGCTGAGACAGGAGGATTCTAACTCAAAGACAGTCTAGGCAATTTAGTGAGACCCTTCCTCAAAAAAAAATGGTAAGTAAATAGGGGCTATGGACATAAGTTAGTGTTAGAGTGACCAACTTTTCAATCCCTGGGACTGTGTAAATAAATAAATAAATAAATAAATAAATAAAATAGGTTTATAATACTTGTAGCTCCATTATAGCAATTATTATATACCAGAAATGTTATTTATCTTATTAAATATTTAAAACAATACTATGAGGCTTATGTAAAGCTATTACATCTGTTGAACACCTCAGAAACCTGAGGCTAAAAGAAGTCAAGTTGTTTGCTTCAGTGTACTGAGTTAGAACTTGAGTTTTAAGTTAAACACAAAGTCATGAGGCTTCAACACCTAAATCTTTAAATTTCGCAGTAGGATAAGACTGTGTCACTAAGTAAATTTGTGTTCTATTTTTGTGTACAGGATAACTTTATTCATTTATAGATTGTTGATACTTAGAACATGGTACTGACCATGTTGCTTTTGTGCTAGGATTCTGTCCTGTGAATATTTTCCTGATTTCTGGTTGCTAAACTTAGTCTCTGAAATGTAAGCAAAAATTAAAAAGTAGATTATATTTAAGTAAATCTCTTGTGTAAGTAAAACTGGTTATTGTGGAGAATATTCAAAGATAGGGAGCGAATCTAAAATTGTATCTTAAGTCCTTACTTTCTCAACATCTCCCAGGCCCTCAGTGTCAAGCAGAACTAGAGTCTGGTTTGGCTTCTTGGGATGTGGCACACACCACATCCAGATTCCTTTGGTGTGAGACTGCACTGTGGAGCCCAGCGAGAAGCCTGCAAAGCATAGAGGAGATGAGACAGGTGGAGTTTTAATAGCAAGTGTTCCTGAAACTGAGATAAAAGTTATTATAATAAATGTTAGGAGACAGAACCAAAACCACAGCCAGTACTGATCTTACTTACAATAAGAGAAATAATAAACATTAGGTTATCTGATATAAGAAAAAGTCGAAGAGTTTCATGATAAAAAAAAAACCCCCTTCATCATGTCAGCATATGGTACCAACCTCTAATACCAGCTACAGAGGAGGCTCACCACTTTAAGGTCATCCTAGTCAACCTAGTGAGGCTCTGTCTCAAAATATAATGTAAGAAAGGGTTGGATATGTAGCTCCATGGCAGAGCTCTTTTGAAGCATGCTTGAGATTCTAGGTTCAATCTTCAGTACCACATACACACAAGAAAAGGCTGATGATATAGGGATGTAGCTTAGTTCTTGCAGGGTTCTCTCCCCAGTACTGCAAAAACATTCAAGAAACTTGAAATAAAAGCAAATTATCTTAGCACAACAATGGTCATATATGAAAATTCATAGGCAACATCTCAGTCAATGGCAAAAAAGTGAAATCTTCTCTAGGATCAGAAACAAAAAAGAGGTGTCTGGCTGCTTGTGTTCAACATTGATCTGAAAGTCTTATCAAATGTAATTGAACAAGATAAAGAAATAGAAGGTACTAACACTGGAAAGAAAAAAGTAAAAGCTTAGGTAGCAAATGAAAAATATAGAGAGCTTAGACTTCTTCAAAACTGAAAAATTTGTGCATCAAAGTTCACCTTCATAGAATAAAAAAGCAATACATGGAACTATGGAACTGGGGAAGATATTTGACAGACATGTATCTAATAAAGGGTTGATATCAAAAATATATCAAAAGTTCCTACAATGATACACAACCAGATTAAAAAATGAACAAAATATTTGAGTAGGCATTTATAAAAAGACGATATTGAAATGGTCAATAAGCACACAAAAAGATGCTTAACATTAGTAGTCATTTAGGGAAATGTAAATTGAAACCACAAGAGACTACTTCATAACCACCCAAATGGCCACTATCAAAACAAATAACTGAACAAAACCAAACAGAAAATAATAAATAACTGCAGAATGTGGAGAAATTAGTACACTTGTGCATTTCTGCTGGGAACATAAAATGATGCAGGCAATATGAAAAATGGATAGTGATTATTCAAGAAATTAAATGGAAGTACTATATGATCCAGTGATATCATTGTGGGTATACACACAGAAAAATTTAGAGCATAGAGTTGAACCAATATTTTTATAGGTCCCAGCCGGGGCCCCACCCCAACCCCAGCAGCTTAGACTCACAGGCCCCAGCCAAAGGCCCACCTGGAAAAGAGGTGCATAGGCGCACAAGCAACAGACAGAGGCCCACCCAGATACCATTGCTAAGTCCATGCAGACCCCAGCCAGAAACCTGCTCAGACACCGGGGACTGGGGTGCACATCCCAGCCAAAGGCCCTCCCAGACAACAGCTACACAGTGGGGCAGGCCCCAGCCAGAGGCATACCCAGATGCCATCCTGTGTGCTTAGGCCCCTGCCAGAACTCCACCCAAACAACAGGGCAGCACAGGGATCCAGAAGGTCATCATTGTGAACCCAGGAAGTGGCACAGTGGTGAGCAGCCGAGAGAAGGCCTCTATGAGGCTTGCTGAGAAGCCCACTGGGAGAGCAAAGAGCTCAATAAAGGCACAGCAGACTGCATTGGTTAAAATGAGAAGACACCTAAACAAGTCTCAAAACCAGACTTCCAGATCATCAAAGGCCACTCCAAGGGACAACAAGATGGAACAATCTGAAACTCAACCAGCTGGTCTCCCTGAACTAGCAATGAAAGAAGATCTGGGAAAAATAAAATCAGAAACAATTTCTCAGATAACAACAGAGATTGTGTCCATAGTGAAAGACACAGAAAAAAAAAATGAGGAGCTGAGAAACATGATGGAATTCCAGCATAGGATACAAATGGAATCCATAAAACAGATGCAAACAAATATCCAGAAGATTAAAAACTCCATTGAAAGTTTATGCAGCAGAATGAGCCAATGTGAGGACAGAATTTCAGATATAGAAGACAGGATTTTGATTAGTGACCAGGAAAAGAAAAATTTCTTAAAAATAGCAAGGGACCACAAGAAATCAATCCAGCAGCTTCTAGATAATGCAAAGAAGAATAACGTAACACTGATCAGAGTCAACGAAGAAACAGGAGAACATTCAAATGACATAAAAAAACTGTTCACAGAAGTAATGGCAGAAAACTTCCCAAGCAGGGAAAAAGAATTTGACATACAGATAAGTGAGGCACATAGGACTCCAACTAGTCATGATAAAAAAAACAACAAATCTACACCTAGGCATATAATAGTCAAGATTCCAGAAACCCAAAAGAAGAACAAAATTCTACAAGCAGTTAAAGAAAAGAAACAAATCACATACAAAGGAAAGCCCATCAAAATCACAGTAGACTTCTCAACACAAAGCCTCAAGGCGTGAAGAGCCTGGAGTGAAGTATTTCAACCCCTAAAAGAAAACAACCTCCAACCCATATTGATGTACCCTGCAGAACTATCTTTCAAAATTGAAGGAGAAATAAGATACTTTCATGACAAAGAGCACCTTAGGAACTTCGTGAATACCAAATCAGCACCCCCCAAAATTTTAATATCCTAGGAAATGACAAGGAGGATCACAACCCCAGGAAGCACAGCAGAATGAATCCATCAGGCACAACAAGAAATTAAACGCAAACGGGGAGAATTCAACAAAAAGAAAAGGTCATGACAAAGATAAGTCAATTCATGTCAGTTATAACCATCAATGTCAATGGTCTCAATTCACCAATCGAAAGAAATAGACTGGCAGAATGGGTCAAGAAGAAAGATCCAACAATATACTGCATATAAGAAACATACTTAATTCAAAAAGAAGCTCATAGACTGAAAATTAAAGGGTAGAAAACAGTACTCCATGTGCCAGGAACCCCAAAAAAAGCAGGAGTACCTATTTTCTTTGCAGATCAAGTGGATTTCAAACTAACACTGATTAAGAGAGACAAAGAAGGACACTACATCCTTGTAAAAGGAACAATCCAAGAGGAAGAGATGACAATCATAAATATGTGCGCACCAAATACTAGTGCATCCAACTATATAAAACAAATATTAACAGACATGAAAAATCAAATAAACACTAATACAATAGTAGTGGGGACCTCAAAACTCCACTGTCATAAATACATAAATCACCTAGACAAAAAATCAACAATGAAATACTAGAACTCAACCAAACTCTTGAACAAATGGACTTAACAGATGTTTACAGTGTGTTTCACCCCACAAAATCAGAACACACATTCTTTTTAGCTGCACACGTGTCATTCTCCAAAATAGACCATATACTTGCTCATATAACATGTTTAAGTAAGTGCAAAGGAATTGAAGTTATCCCCTGTATATTATCAGATAACAGTGCTATAAAATTGGAGATCAATAAAATTCTTCTTAGGAAAATGTTAACAAAAACTGGAAAAAAGCCACCTCTCCATGTACACATGAATGGATGAACAAATTGAAATACGGTATTGATAAGTGATTAGGCCTTAAAAGGCGGGAAATTTTGACAAATGGGACATTGTGGAAACTTAAAAACATCACACTAAGTGAAAAAAACCAGTCATGAAAGGACAAATCTTGTCTGATTCTACTTGTATAGTGCTTGGAGAATAGTCAAATTCATAGCGATGGAGTGTAGAATGGTAGTGGGGGATGGGTGCATAGGGAGTCACTGTTTAATGGACACAGAGTTTCTCTGGGAAGGAGGAGGGTTTTTTTGGGAAAGGGAAGTAAATGAACACCTAATGCTTAAAAGGGCAAACTGTATATTATGTTAAAATTTGAAGAATAGAAAAAGTAATACAAATGAAACACTTTTAAACCTCAAAATCAGTAGAAACTGGCTCTTACTCTATTAACATCTTAGTAAGAGTCTTAGAGTTTATTACCATGTAAATTAATTATTCATATTACTGTCTTCCTTTTTTAGGAAAGGACCAATTTACACTTTCGAAGGGGAAGCTAAGGCATAGCGGGGCAAGCTGGTGAGCTGACTCTCATCCCCTAGAACAGAGTGAAGATATAAAGCCCACCAGTGAGCAGAAGATTAGCTAATTATCTTCCCTGGCTCTTTTGTCTCCTCCCCAACCCCATGCAGGATGCTGGGCAGTGTGGGTGGACAGAGGGCTCAGTAGAGCTTTGTTGGTGGCACTCACCCTTTTTCTTCCCAGCCAGCTTGTTCATCAGGTAGGATTTGCCTGTGCGGTAAAGGCCCACGATAGCCACCACCACAACGGGCTGGGTGATGGCAGACAGGATCTTCAGAGCTTCCTGATTCACCCTCAGTTGCCCTTTCACATTTTCAATGAGGCACAGTGGGCCTGACATGTGGATCTCTGAGGCCATGTCCAGCGTGTGCTCTGGTCTGCAAGGGCAAAGTTGGAATGAATGCATATCAATTTCAATTTCCAGGGATTTTTAAGTGTCTCCCTTCTTCCCACCCCAGCAGCTATGCACATTTCACTGGAATGAGGATCCAAAGAATTTCTTGCACTGCCTTCCCAGAAAGGAAACAAATACAAGTTACTTCTGCAAATTTTATGAAAATACATAAGTATGGACCCTTGCAGGACTTGGAGGAGCATAAGGCAAGGGCAGTGCCTGACACTGGGACTACCTGAGCTTCACAGTGAGTGAGTGTGAATTCAGTGAGGTGTGAGCACACAGTGGCAAATACTGGATTTTGCTAAAAATTTCTATGAAATAAGGATTATGAAATCAGGCAACAGATCAAGAGGACTAGAAAGGGAGTTGTTCTAAGGTATGTTTTCTGCAATCTGCTTTTAGGTCTTATACTTGCTTTTTTGTTTTCTTTTGGTAGAGGAAAAGGAGGAATACAAAGGGAGGAAGAAAGAGTGGAGGGAACAGAGGGTAAGTAGCTGAGGAGGAGAGAAACCCTTAGACAACTGGTGAGAAATGAGGCTAGCACCTGCCAAGGAAGTCAGGGGAAGAGTTCCCCGAAGGCAGGAAAATTTGTCTGAGGTCACTATTGGAAGCAAAAACTCCTCCCTGAGTGCTGCACTAGGTGAGATTTTTCTAGAGGAAGCACTTTAGTAAAGTACAGGGCCTGAATTCTGCTGGTGTGAGTAGGGAGAGCCCTAAGAAATCACTGATTCTGCAGCCCTGCTGAAGGAAGACATTCAGCTTGAAACAAAGTTCAAATGCATGATTAGGACTTAGGCTGCTTTTGTGATCTTCCTCTTTTATTCTGAGTATTTTTCTCTCTTTGCCTTCAACAGTGAAAATAGCTGTTCAGCTCCGTCTCATTTCTGTGCTTTCCTTCTGCAAACAAACAGCCCACTTGTAACTTCCATAGATACGGCAGGAGCAGCTCTGAGGGTGAGCCCATCAGGGACCACAGCAGTCTGTGTTCTCAGTCCATACAATCAACAAACAGTCATTTCCCTGTCTGTGAGTACACGCAACACAAGCTCAGCAATGGCACAAGGGGACCTGCTGCCGTGATAAAATCTGGATTTCATTTGACTCCTTGTCCCAACTAAGTCTCAGTTGCAACCTTTCACAGTTCTGATAGTTTTTAAGAAAAATAACTGGCCCTTATAAGCCCCTTCCCTTCCCTGCATTGGATTTAGAAGCTTCTAGTCCCTGAGCAGAGGTCTTTCAGAGCTGGAGAAGCTGCTGGAAGGGAAATCAGCCTCTTTCTTACCCGATCTTCTCCTGTGTAGGTGCTTTGGTTTCTCTGTTCTCTGGCTGTATGTTCGGCTTTTATTTCACCCTCCAATGTTGACAGGCTTCTGTACTTGCCTGAGTGGACAAATAATGAAACACAGAAAGCTTTGTGATGGATTTAGAGGAATGTGAAACTGAAAGTACTTAGCTTGCACAAAGATGCAACAACCATAAAAGGGATTTTTCTAGCTGTGCCAGAGAGAAGGTTAAAGAAGACTTATCATCCTGTATCTTCAAATTTTTTGTTGGAAGAAATCTTAGAAACCATTTGCTGTTTTTAAAATGTCTTTTAGGTGTGAAATATAATGGAATATCTCTCAAGATTGGGGGTCAGTTTGAGCACACTGGAGTGAGGAAACATCACATTAGTTTTAAAGTATAATTTCCAAAAATAACAGATCCTCTCATAGTGGAATTGGTTATTGAGAAATGCAGTAAGAGAAAGGGCATGTAATACTCTCATGAGCACACAGCGCTGGGTTCTGATGCTCACTACAGTCAGGGGGGGCTCCCTTCACTGTGCTGGTGCTCCAGGGGCAGGGCTCAGGGGTCTACATGGATTGCACATCTTAAATCTCATAACAAACATTTCCCATGATTTTATAGAAAACGAGGCACAGACAGGCTGTATCAATTGTCTCAAATCGTAGGACTATAAGTAATCTGAATCCAAGCAGCTTCCATCCCAAACCTTAAGCCATCTTACTATGCTGCCTATTTCCTGACCGAATAATTCTAAAAGTAGTTGCTTTTCCTTGTTAATTATTTTGTAAAATTTCCTGTGTTTTGTGTAAAATCAGTTCTGACTTCAGCCATTTAAAAGAGACTATATTGTCTCTATTTTGCAATGGAAACAAGAAGTCATGGGGAGAGTACTATGGTTTAGATACAACATGGTGTGTCCCCCAAAAGTTCATTTTCTGTGCGCCTTGAACTCAGTGTGGTGATATTCAGATGTGCTGCAACCTTTAAGAGGTGGTATCTGTGAGAAGTGATTATTTATTTTACTTATGAAAAAATTTTTTAAAAATTTTATACAATCTGGGCATGATGGTGCAAGCTTGTAATCCCTGCATGCTGGGAGGCTAAGGCAGGAGAATCACAAGTTAGAAGCCATCCTGGACAACTTAGTGACTTAGAACTTGTTCAAAACAAAAACTAATAAAAGAGCAAAGAATCTAGCTCATTGGCAAGATTCTGGGTTCAAACCCTAGCACTGGAAAAATATGGAAGTCAAAACAAGTTAATCAAAATTAGTAACGTGTACAAATTGAATTGTTAAGTAAATAAACTAGACTTCAAATAGTACTCTATTATTTAGATTTTTCCAGATTAGACAATTACTTATCAAATGACAGTTATTTAGAGCAGAAATTATCATAGAAAACCTTGGAGAAATCAAGTATAGCCCAAGAATAACTTGCATGATATAAAAAAGAACTGAACATGAACATACCTGCTCCAGAGCACCACAGGTCCGAGGAAAGTTAATAAATGAAAAGTGCTAAGTCTTCACTTTAATTCATGAGGGGAAGAGCTCTGGGGTGATTCGGGACAACTTGAAAGTATCTTCGTGTTGGACACAGGCCAGATGGAGAGTGAAAGTAGGATAAGCTCTTAGTTTCTGGGAAATAGACTGGATAGTAATAAACAGGCCTTTTCCTAAGACCGTGAGCCAGGAGTGCTGGGATTACAGGTGTGTGCCACCACAGCTGGCTTTCAAAGCTGTTTCAAAATTTAATGTCATTATTCTGAAAAGTTTTCTACATTTCCATTCAAATTCAAATTTTGTGATCAGTTTATTGATACCTTAATTTTTCACTATCTTTAAAGTTGTGAAAAAGCCACATAACATTCACGATCATAACCACCATATATGAACTGTATGAACCATATATAGACCCTATATGCATATTTAAGTACTGTTAAGTACTTTCACAGTTTAGTGCAATGGAAGTTAGATTTTTTTTCTCCCACAACATAGAAGCTCTCTACCTCTTGACTAACTGCACATTTCCCTACTCCCTGATTCATGACAACCTCCATTCTGCTTTGTTTCTAGGAGTTTGACTATTTTATTTATATCATCCCGATAGTAAGTTCTGAACCCTTCTGAGCTACTCAGTCAGGTAATCACAGTCATGACTCCACTTCTGTGGTATCAGTATCAATCTCAGTTACTTTTCTCATAACTGAGACAAAATACCTGACACCTGCAACTTAAAAGAGCTTATTTTGGCTCATATCTGGCCTGTGTCCAACAGTAAGATACTTTCAGGTTTTCTTGAATTACCCCAGAACACTTCCACTCGTGAATAAAAGTGAAGACTTGGCACTTTTCATGTATTAGAGGACTATGCAGACTTCAAACATAGGAAAATAAAGGAAGAAACACATTAGCAGAGAACTTTAGTTCATTTTGGAAAATATAAAGCCATTTAAGAAACCTAATTAAACTTATTTAAACACACTGCCTGATTGATCACTTCAGAAAATCTTAAATCAGTGGTTTACAAGCTGCTGTTAAAACAATATTGAGCATCTTTAAACTGTATTTACTGGTCTGGAAAAGCAGATAATCACTTATATGATACATCACACACAAAAGATAATTAATACCACTTTAAAGAATATTTAGCACACAGCCAGCCACAGAGTAGATACCAAGAACATTTTACTTCTTACCCCCTTTACTTTTGCTTCCTTGCCTCAAACTAGCTAATTCAGTATGAAATGTAAATTTGGTGAAAATAATTTACATAAATACATATTATTTGTTCTTAGAATTAAAACTTGCCTATTAGAGAGTGTCCTTTTTCCCTGTCCTGTGAACTGAGGGTCAAGTCATGTTTCCTCCTATTGGGACAACGTAGAAAAGCCCAATAAACACTGGGAGGAATGGGAAAGACAGAAAATATTTCCTGTAGTAAATTTCATTATAATCTCAAAAATCTTTAAAAAGTGTACAATGTTCAATCAACACAGTTACTATCACAGCTTTGATTCAGTCAATCAAGAAATACTTATTCAGGTCTTGTTACTTTCTCAGGCAGATGGAAGCCGGTGTAGTGCATTAGACTTGGTAAGTGGTCATTTCTTGAACATGAGTTTTAAGCACATTGTCTTGGTCTAAAAGTCCTTCAGCAATCTGAAGTTACAATCAATCAGAGACTTGTTCATTGCATTTGTTTACCACACACAGTCTCTGGTTTACATTTTCCTGTCAAGTGCCTTTTAGTTGTGATCTTTTCTAAAACCTGGGAATGGGGCAGACACATTGAAAAGGTCAGTGAATTTTAACTAAATGCATACTTAGTCATTAAGATCTGGAGTAGAGTATAGGGAGAAAACAAACAAATGTAGGAAAAGAGAAAAAACTGGTGAGTACATCTTCAATTGATGCCTAGGAATTTGTTCGTTTCGTGGACAATTTGATAAGATACAGGTGTTTGTGTATGACCTTGTACCCCTTTTATTTCTGTAACACTGATAGTAATGTCCATTTTTTCATTTTCCATTTTAGTAATTTGAGTCTTCTGGGTTTTTTTTTTCCTTTTCTTGTGATTTTGGTTTTATTGTTGTTATTTGTCTTTTGCCAGCATAGTTAAGAGCATGTCAATTTTGTGGAACTTTTCAAACAGACCATTATCTTCCAGTGGATGAGCCATCCATCCTTAAATTAAGATGAAGACTATAGAGTAAAAAATTCCACAGATTTTTTACAACCTAAACAGCATGAAAATTCCCAGCTCCAAACTATGATGCATCTCATTTTTCTGAACACTCATACTCCACTCTTAAATGTGTACTTACATTTAACTTCTACCTAATAAAACTTTACCTTGCCTCTTACTGATATATCTTGAAAATTCTTTTTCCATGATGAGAGTCAGCAAAACTGCAAACCTATTTATGGGTTGGGTGGGTTAGGTTCCTTATTTTAACTTCAGGAACCTCCTGGGACCTTGTCCTGTAACAAGTATTAATCCCTCTTAAAATCCTCTACTTCCACTAGCCCCAACTCTTAAAGGGCCCAGCACATTTCAATATCACTGAGTTCCAAACTACAGTACATGAACCTGAGGAGCAATGATCAAATCATAACTAAACCATAGTCCTCTTTCCCAGACTTCTTGTTTCCATTGTAAAATATAGACAATACAATTTATTTGCATGATTATAGTCAGGACTACATTTACACATAATATAAGAAGTAATTACAAAATAATATACAAATAAACCAATTATTTTTACAATCATTCACTCTGCAAACACAGACGCAACATAGTGAAGTGGTTCAAAAAATTTTGGGATCAAGGTTGCTTGTGTTCATGCTAGCACTAAGATTTAAGGCAATTGATAATGCCTGCCTGTGCATCAATTTCTATAAAAGAACGGGAAAAGTTTGTTATGAGATTTAGGATGTGCACTGTATGGGAAGCAGTCAGTACTGGGCCTAAAACATCTGTACAAAGCAGGCAATGCCCTCCAGAATATATGGTAAATGTAAGTATCACATATAGAGTGATCTTCAAAGTGCAAGATGTGTCCTTTCCATCATTTACTATATCTCAAAAAAGAAAATCCAGCTCTACTCTGAGTGTGTCTATTATTTTACAACATAGGATTTAAAAAATAACATGTTACTCCCTCATTCTAGGATGCTCAATCTGATGCCCAGTCTTAAGAACCATTCCAGTATATTCTATATGGAAAAAGTCCTATTTTTCCTACTCCAAGTAGAAATCAGAGAATTCAAAATTTCAATTTGCCCCATCTGTGTATAAAGAAGTTCTTTCCACTAAAGAAATGCTTTATTGTAGAGTCACCCTCTCATAAGAAGCTTTCCCAGCTTGAAATGCTGCATGATGAGCTGCATCCTAAATTTGTGCAACAAGTTGCAGAATTCTGTTCCTACATTTTCAGCCACTCTGAGGTCAAGACTCTTCCAGAAGGCATATGGACCTTGTATCTATTTATGTAATTTCCGTCAACTCAACTGAAAGTATAAGAAACACATGAGTCTCATTGTAGTACCAATGTTGACAAATGTGTAAGTAAGTAACTACCACTGAGAAAATCATATGCCACATGTTTATAAAGTTATAGTGAATTTAGAACATAATTCTTGTGTTCAATTTTTAGTAATGCCTCCACAGATACATACAATAGAAACAAAACCAAGAGAAGTAAAGTTAAATGAATTTTATGCATGTGTTTCATTGTTGAAGTAGACTAATTCTCATTGATCGCCAGTATGTTTTAAAAAATACATTGAATTCTTATTATGTGTTGCAAACTTTGATAGGCATAGACGGGCAAGACACAAATGTTTCAGTAGAAATAACTCTGTTGATACAAAGGTGAACAAAGGCTCAAATTGTCTAGATCCTTGAAAGATAACAAAGAAGGCTTTTTGGTCTTTTTTCTAAGAAATCTGTAAATAATTGCTAGATTACAGAGGGAAGTTGAGTTCATGTTTACAGAGGTGTAAAGCAGAGAATTTCCAAAAAAGTATAAGAAAAACCTGGTCCAAAATTAATTAAATTATCTTTCACCAGAGGAGGGTATTTCTCATACCAGCTTTACTAGAATAAAGTAAATGGGAAAAGGCAATCCTGAAAAACATGGAAAACTGAAGAATGAAAGAAAGGGAAGGTTAACTACAGAGGCAAAAGCCTAGAGCATTGTAATGAATTATGCAGGACTCCTATCTAATCACCTCCTTCTTTCTCCAAGGAGAATGATGCCATGTAATCACATACATCTTGAGATTTTCTGCTTTTTCTTCTTTGATCATAGTTTCATTTCCCAAAGAAGGAATGACCTGGTTTCTTAATCACATAATTTCCCAAAGGAAGTCATCTGGGCCACTTGAGTATTGATCAAAATGGTGAAAATTTTAAGACAATGAATTGCTAAGCTGTCATTCTCATAATTACAAATCATATATCACAGATTCTTTCTACACAAATAATGGAAACATCTTTGCCCTCTGTGATGGTCTAGAGATCCTGACATAGACCTATGTCAATGAGATCAATAGTGGGTGTCTGGTCTGCATGGAGAAAGCAGTCCTGGCCTTGGTTCAAAGAGAAAATTCAGCTGCAATGCAAATGGCCTTGGCCCACTATGAGGAGCAGATGGACCAAAAGGAACAGCTGCCCACAGACACCCTCCAGGAGCTGCTGGGCCTGCACAGAGCCTGTGAGAGGGAGGCCATTTTAACTTTCAGGAAGAACTCTTTCAAAGATGAGGACCAAAGTTTCTTGCAAGAATTATACATAATTATCATTATTCTGATTATGGTTATTATTATTGTTGTTGCTACTGTTATTTGTTGTTGTTCTAGTTCATTGGCTTTTATGTTAATAGAAGAAAACTGCTGGAGATGGCAATATTGATTACAGCCAAAGCAGGCTGTAAGCAGTGCAGGCTATAAAGAGTTAACCCCACAACTGGTTTGTTTATAGAAATGAGTCCAGCCGAAGCCTACATGCCAAAGTCAGAGTGACTCATACCCAAATTCGGTTCCCAGAATTAAAACCTTCTAACTACAAGGA